CTTACTGGACATCTACAGGAGGATGTACCTGTGTGTATGTTTTTTGCTGATGATATCCTTCTCGTGGATAAAACAAGAGAAAAAGCGAAAGAAATGAGGTAAAGCGCTCTTTCATTTAAACGAGGTCTATATTGGAGTCTAAAGGTCTTCAAAAGGCCTTCATTTAAGTAGAACTAAAACATAATACATGGAATTTAATTTTAGTAGTAATAGCTCTAGTGACAGAAGTGTGACTTTGGGTGATCAAATTATTAAAAGGTGTGAACGATTTAGATATGTTGGGTCTGTAGTTCAAAGCGATGGTGATAGTAAAGAGTAAAGAATTGTTGCAAGAGGAGACATAAAACATAATTTTTATGTTAACACATTTTATTAGTTTTTTTTTTTTTTTATAGAAAAGTACCGCTTAGACTAAAAGGAAAATTTTATAAGACGGTGGTAAGATCCACAATGCTATATGGTGCAGAATATTAGCCTTTCAAAGAGAAACATAAGACCAAGCTAAGTGTTGTTGAGATGAGAATACATAGGTGGATGAGTGGCTTGACACTAGAGTCAAAATGCGAAAAATATATTCGTGATAGGGTTGGTGTAGCTCCTGTGACAGACAAAATTAGAGAAAGTCGTCTTAGATGGTTTGGTCACATTAAATTTCAACCATCTCATGATCCGATTAGGAGAGTAGATATTTAAGATTCGACTTGTGTTAAGAAAGACAGAGGTAGACCTAGGAAGACTTGGGCTTATTATGTAAAAAATGATCTTAATTTACTAGAACTAAATGAAAATATGACAATAAATAGGATGCAATGGAGAAAAAGGACTCATGTGGCCGACCCCACGTAGTGGGATTAAGGCTTTGTTGTTGTTGTTGTTGTCGTCGTCGATAATAGAATTTAATTTTTATATTTCCAGATACTACATTATTCCTTACAAAACACTCAATCATAAAAATTCTTTTAATCAAGTTTGAATTTATCACTTAAGACTGTAGTAGAAAATTTATTTCTATTTTTTAAAATAATATAATAAATTCGGGATTTAGAGATTGTTTAAGAATATCCCTATAAGTAGTCATATATCAAATTGAAATTAAAGAATAGTTCATCGGTATCGGGAGCATACGAACAACAAAAAACTATTAAGAGAATAGAAGAACAATTATCATGTCTCATAAGATCCACATTGGATGCTTGTTATATAGTTGTATCCAAAAAAAGTGAAATACAGGGTAATGGTGAAACGGCCCACCCATGAATTTGGTGAGGCTGGATCATTGTTCATAAAGCCTTAGCAGCGCATTCCCCACCAGGTACACTTTTAGGGTAGTTGATTATGCTTAGTGTCCTACATCACATACTAGATTTCTAAACTAAAAAAGGGAAAACAAAGAAATTATTGAGCCGTTTTATATTTGAAAATGGGCGTTTTCTTACAGAATTTTGTTGCGTCAAAGTTGTCATAATAAGCCTTTGTTCTTGATTCCAAAAGCTTGGTTTTCATGGAAGGTCTACGGAAAACGAGGATGAATTCATTAAATGGCATGATACTATAATTTCTAAGAAAGATTTATTGTGTTTACCTTGCATGAATTCATTAAATGGCATGATACTATAGATACTAGCTAAGCATGTATGAAATCCGTAAAATGTAGCTGACCAATTAGCCCAAATACATAGGCTTCAAACTTTAGGAAGTTAATGTAATTAAAAACAAAGAGAAGTAATCAAAATAAATTTTCTGCAATATATTTTTCATTGTTAAAGATGAAAAAAAGAACTTAGTACGCCAAAATCACAATGAATTAGCCTAGTAATTTCCCAATTAAACAGCATACCCAATTTCTTCAGATCAGAGCCCAACATCAACAACCAAAAACCATTTAATACGATAATTGCTAACCAAGGCTAGCAATTAAGCAGTTAAAATATTAACACAGTTCATAGTTCTGTAACTACAGAAAAAGAAAAAAGAAGAAAGAAAGAAAAGAAATCAATTCAAGTGTGTGCAGAAAGCTTTCTGGTTATATACCTGTTAACTCAATTAACATTATGAAACGGTAGAGGTTGAGAGCAGAAAGGACCTGCAAGAATTGAGATAAATTAAATATAAAATCACTCAGATATTCATTCACAAAAGAGTAACCTCCCTTTCGCACTCGTATGAGACTGGGAGAGAGAGAGAGAGACAGATTCTACAATCTCTCCAGAGAACTAAAAAGGTATAGCCCATGAAAGGAAGAAAAGAAAGTTACTAACAATCTATAAACACATTAGTCGGCCTTTCAAGTACAAAAGTAAAAAATCAGGTAGAAATGTGGAGATGGAGACATGTACCGGTTCGCTATGTTCTGGCAAGGAAGGAGGCCCGCCTTTATGAGGTCTTAGTACCATTTCCACAATTTCAAGGGCATTAGAACCCCAAAATTTTGAAATTTCCTTTCTATTTTGAGCATTTTCCGAATTTTCTGGATGATTATCTACCAAAACTTCCCCTTTCACCATATCAATAAGAATGGCTACCTGTGCACAATAAATGAATCAATAAGAAAAAAGAGCAGACAATTTATAAAGCAAATGCTTCCATCACAAAAATTCTACCATGGAAGGAGAATCACTATTAGTAATAATAGCCTTCAGAGTGTCGAATCTTTGAGAGCATGGGATCTCTGAGACTACCTGACCATTGTTTTTATACAGTCAGGATGACAAAAATGGTGTACTTGTACAGTCAGCTGAAAGAGCTATTCACATTCATAAAAACAAAAGCACAAAAAATTAAAATTTCCCATATTTCCAAAACCAAAATAGTGAGGTGCGACATAATGATATTAACAATATATCTTGATTACATGATTATAATCTTCGACATGCCTTAGCATTAGCCTCAAATACAATGTTTGCATTTAAACCTAATAACCTTGAATTAATCAACAAATGGGAAAGCCAGAGAAAACAGAACAGCTTACTAGGGGCATTTACTTACAAAGCACACTTATGTATTTGCATACTTCAAATAAACTTTCATATTTACATACACAACACTCAAATATTTAACATCACATTAAAAATAACACTATTACCAATTTTTAAAAGTGGAATACACCTTTCATGCATGGGTTTAAAACAACAAAGCGCTATGTATTTAAGTATGAAAGTTTAGGTGTGAGATGTGTAAATACATAAGAATTGTGTGCTACGTATGTAAATTTCCCAAATTTTTAATGCTATGCTTTTTGAAAACTCACCTTTCTGAATGCATTAAAAGCCTTCTTTCTTAATGAGGGATCTGGAGCACCCATCATGATGCTTTTAATAGCCTAAAACATTTCTTCAAGTTAAAGCAAATAACTATAAGAATTATCACTTAATCAGGTAACAAAAGAAAGAAAATGCTACCATTAGAGATGTAAATAGATTAGGCAGAAAGGAAGAAAAGTCATCATCAACATCATTTTGCTCTTCAGAAATAATTCCATCTATCATACTTAGTAAAACATCCAAACAATGGGATTTTATTATCCAGGGATACTCAACAGATATAAGTATATGTGTGAACATCCCTATAGCCTTCAAACGCATAAAACGGTCTTGTCGAACTTCAGTAACAACAATATCTAATTGCTCACCAGCAGCTTTTTCAACTTCATCAGAAATGTGGCCCCAAATGACTAACAACATATGAAAAAAATGGAAACAAATCAATAAGAAACAAAAAAGCGACAGAAAAAAAAAGAAGAGAAATGTGTTAAAACAGTCTCTTGACTCTTTGCAAAGGGGTCATTTTAGTACTAAAGTCTATAAAGTGTCAATTTAGTCTCAGACTCTTTTAATATGGACTGAAATAATCTCCACGGATGACTATTTCAGCCCCAATTTAAAGAGTTTGGAGACTAATTTGACACTTTTGTAGACTCTCGGAATTAAATGGCCTCATGTAAACGATGGGGAGGCTATTTTGACACTTTACTCAAAAAAAATAATTAGATTGAAATTAACTGTTTTAGGAAAATAAAAATACAATAAAAAAGACATCAGACCAGCTAGGCTAGCTCCGGCAGAAGCAGATGAAAAGCAAGCAATAAATTCATCATCATCATCATGTACAACACTTTCTTCTGAAAATTGTATCAGGAAATAGAACGGAAAATTAGAGTAAAAATTCAGTAGATAACTAACACTCAGCATCTAGAGATTGGAAAATTACTAGAAGAATTACTAGTCACCTTTACAGATTTCATTAATTTTATCAAAATGCCCAGTAAGAAGGCCAGGGTAAGATAGCCCGCAGAATGGAAGGAACTGAGAAAATTTCGCTACAGTTGAGGAACTTTCAAAAATATGCCTTTGTCTAGCTCTTGAAATAAGAGCCTTCAAAGTAGAAAAACAAATACAATCAAGAAAACTGCACAGCAAGCAAAGCAGTAAGGAGAAACAGTAATTAGTATTAATATGAAGCTTATGATTACTCAACAATGTTCTGCAGGACGTAAAGACCAAGTATAGCACAAAGTAATTCTTTTCTTTCTCCCTCCTGATACAGCTGATAGTAAGATCAATATATATCAAAGCAGAAGCAAAATTAACATATGGTCCCGAAGCAAATACTAACCAACTTTTGGCAAACTTCTTGGATTGACGAACCAATGCTAATTGCAGCAGAGAATAATTTGTTTAGAGAATCTGTATCCTCTTCGTCACTCTCTGACGAGGCAAGAGTTAGAACTCCAAGAATAACAGGCAAAGCCACTTTAACTTGCTCTACATGACGTCTCTGAATACGAAGAAGAACTGAGATGAGAAAAAAGAATAGTTAATACCAACCATCCAACAACAAATACCATAAATAAATGAGAAATGGATCTTTCTAGGAGTTCAACAAAAAAAATTTAATTGGAAAAACTCATTGAGAATAATTTGAAAAGACTAAATTAGAAATCGTGTTCATTCCATAAAAAAAAATGTTTTTTTTGTTTCTAAATTAAGATGCATAAGAAATATCTTTTATGCACGCAATCTTATTCCTGGCTTAGGTTGTACCTTATAGTGTAACTGTACCTTTCGAGAGCCCAAACACAAAATGACTGTAGCATCCCAGTGCATCAGAAGCATCAGCATGAGATGTTAATGCCTGTAACGAAATCAATTAAAAGAAGAACACTTACAGAAATGATTACAAAAATCCATTAAAAAGAATTTCCATAAAAAAATAAGCCCCTTGATGCCCGTAAAAGCCCAGCAAGTGGACAAGTCAATCAAAGTAGTTAGTGCATCATCTCCCTCCCTCCCTCCCTCCCTCCCTATCTTACCTAATAAGCCTCTTAAAGACTGTCCTGACAGAAAACACACAGAAAAAAAGTCAACCTAATACACAAAAACAAATATATAACGCCTAGATAATTAAGATTGGGCCCCTCCATTGAAATGATACGTCAAACCAAAGTGGAGGAACCGGTTGCCTCTCCACTGCCTGGATTAGTCGGCCCAGGCGTATGAAATGAGGGTGGGGAATAACACGCCCCTCTGACACCCGCATCACAAAGAAAATAATGTTAGAAGTCATCAATCATACAAATATGGCATTTAGAAAAAATTACAGACGCTATGTTAGAAAATCATTCTCTTAGTTTCAATGGAACGTAAGAGATATTTCATTGATGCATCATACATTTAGGCATGAACATATGGTATCACATGTGAAAAATAATATAGATTCCTAGCAATTCAAGGTATATGTCCAATATATTGACCTAATTTTTTTGGGGTTTCTTGAGGAGACATTAGTAAGCCTAATTCAAGTATATAAAAACTAACTTGTTTCCTAAATGCTATATTATTTTCGATAATTCTCAAGTATATAAAAACTAACTTGTTTCCTAAATGCTATATTATTTTCGATAATTCCTCCCTTGATAGATACAATTCCCTTTTCCATAACAAGTACTTTTCAAAGTGAACTTGAAGAGAACCGATTGAATTGCACATACTAATTACTATATCCTCTTATTGCTTATTTATACCCTTTCCTCATGCATCTTCTTTTCTTTCATTGTATTTATCCTTGATATACTCCCGAAATGAGGTATCATTGATTATATCAATTGAAAAAAAAAAAAAAAAAAATTGCAAGATTAAATAATGGTATGAAGACCACATAGAGCAGCAAGCCTATCTTATAATATTACAGCCTCAGGGCAAGGTTCCTTCAAATTTAAGTCCACTAATTCTTTTGTGTCCTCTGCTCGCATCTTTTGTAGATAAGCATTGCATGTGAGTAGAGGTGTCGAAAATTGACCTGACATACCAACTCGACCGAAACTTAACTCAAAAAAATCAGGTTTGGGTTGACCTGAATATTTTCAAGTCGAGATAGGGTTCACGTTAGGAATCCTAACTCATTTTTTCGGGTTGGGTTCATGTTGACCCACCAATCCAAAATTGACCCAAAGCTACCCGCCAACCCGAAGCTAATTCAAAACTGATATGCTAGCCCAATTTTGATTTGAATATCTATTATGTCTTACGTTAAACGGGTTACCTTGTTGAAGACGGTTCGGGTTGGACTTTCTGACTCGCTTAAGATTCAGGTCGAGTTGATTTCGAGTCAGGCTTGACCCTGATTTGACACCCCTACACGTGAGATTCTTAGTTTGAAAGCACAACTTAGAAAATCTCAAAAAATACAACTCAAAATATAATTATGTTGCTATTCTCTTAATCACATATGATCTTCAGGGTTTATTTTCTATCAAGTCAGATCTCTTTATATTCCCCATAACCAAGCCCCAAGAGCCCTTCAAATATCTACATAAACCTCATCTATAGAATGATTTCAAGGATACTTCTACAATGACGGTTAGATAGTTTAGCTCCTATGGATGAACACTTTAGTTTTATTTTTGTATTGCAAATTTTTTTCACTTTGGATTTCTTTTCCTTTTTGTCTTAAACATTTCATTGATTGGCTTCTTAAAAGAGCTAGACAATAAATAACTTATATGTATAAAATAAACATGAACAATAAATATTAAGTGAGGATAAAGTAAGAAACTTTGAACTAAGAATGTCTACAACATAAGAGATCACATAACTTCTGATTTTGTACATCTGCTGAGAAGAAGATAACAGTGAAGGAACACTAAAGCATGTTTGTTCTCCCTCATGAAACTCAATTACGCATATATGATAAGAAATTCATACATATAAATGAACTGCAAATACCCAAGATCGTATAGTATTATAGAACTTCAGCTACACTTATGAGAAAATTATGATTTGGCCACTTGGGAAAAGTGACTTAAACTGCTCATCATGAAATTACACGCACAAAAAACATAAAAGTGTTGCAATTAATCCATCAAAGTTGTCAATCCAGACAACAAGTTTTAATTAAAACAACAATTCTTACATAGAATGCTGTTCATTTAGGAAAGAACGTATATCACAGAAGCCAAGAGACAGAAAATTAATTACCACAAAGAGATGCCCTATTCAGCTGAAAAGACACCCACCTCACAGAGAACGGAGAGCATCTCGCGGGGATTACAGATAGAAACTAAGCATTCAATGATTTTCCCCGCAATCTCCCCGCACTTCACTGACAAAGGAGCAAACGTTATGACCAACTTCGGAAGTTCAAGCGAAAGTGCTTCGACCACCATCTGATTCGAATCGGCAGAAAAAATAAAATGATAAATCTCATTTAGGGCGACCTCTAAGCCTTCAACGCCCGGCAGACTTTCATCCCCATCGGAGGTAGAGGACTCCATTAAGGTATGGAGAAGGTTTGTTACGGGAGCGACGGCCTCATTGGATTGGATGATGTCTTCTGTCCCCATCGACTGAAAGAATTGCAAGAAAAAGATTGGGGGAGCTGGAGAAAGATGAAATCGGGAAAAATGAAAAAGAACAGAGGGGGAAGCTTTTATCTACGCTGGAGCAAGCTTCTAGGGCTTCTCTGAGGCGAAGACAGATTTCCGGGGAGGAAGATGAAGAGGGGTGTTGGAGATGTCGGAGATCGCCGGTGAACTTTGCCGCCATTTCTCGACTGCTCGCTCTCGAAGTATCTTCTCACTTTGCAATTGATAATTTGGTATATACATAGATATTTCCGATTTACATACGTACCTTTTAAGTTCTATATATTTACACATGTAATACCCAAATTTGCAAAATTATTTCATACAGACACCGCATGCAGAGAGATGGATGTTGTATCTGATCTACACCGTAGATCACATTAAAGATATATTTTCAGTGGACCTCACTTTCAAATTTTTTCTAAAAAAAAAAAAAAATTTAATTACGGTGATCGACGGTAGAGATCGGACACCACATACATCTTTGCATGCACTATCCGTATGGAATTATTTCTCCCCAAATTTAAATAGTTTTAAGTACTCATTGTGTTACCTATGAATGAAAGTGGGTATTTTATTTTAATTTTTTTTTTAATTAGAATAATGATTTTTTTCATGTGATATGAAATATTTCAGTGTTATAAATATAAAAAAAAACAAACTGCATGTATTAGACACATAAAAACATAACAATTTCAATGTATGCTTGCAAAAGCCTCTAGAAAATCACAAATTTTTCTAAATATGGGATAAAACCATCAATCATAAATTTAGTGAAACTTCTTGCATTGATTTGTCAAAAATTGCAAAATTTGTAAGATTTAATTTGTGAAAAGATATCAACAATTTAATAATTTTCAACATATTTACAATTAATATTTAGTAAACTAAAACTCTAAGGATCAAACAAATCTTATATGACAGCAAATAACTCAATAGCATCTCCAACAACACGACATGATTGTCGGTACATTTTATATCTCATGAGACATTGGCACAAGTCTTTTAGATAGAAACTCAATTATTGTATTTTGTATAGTTAGAAGTCACTTTCTATTTTTACATGAGTTGTCATCACCTCAAGTAGAATGTCTACACAATATATAGATATTTGAAAGAGGAGTGAATGACACTAAACACAAATGAGAAATAGAAAACATGATCACAATATGCTAAAATTTATGTGATAAATGATATGATACATTATTATAAGAGAATTTATAGTTGTTATACAATGAATAGCAATATTAATTTATGTGATAAATGATATGATACATTATTATAAAAGAATTTATAGTTGTTATACAATGAATAGCAATATTATTATTCATTTTTCAATATTCTAATTACATCAACATTGAAAGAAATTAATGAAGAAGGAACTTAAAATTCCTAGAACATGGAGTCATAGAGATAATTTCACACAAAATCTTCTTCTCGTATGCATCTCAAAATCCCTCAAATCTTCTAAGAACCCTAATATTTGTATGGGCAAACAAGAAACAATAGAGATCTCCAAAAAGTAGAATGCTCTAATACTGGAAGAATACATCATATAAATAAAGTTTGTACTATTAGAATATTGAGCATCAAAATCGAATATAATATGCCCAAAAAATTTTCAATTATAGTATAGAATATCTAAAGTGGACTAATTTAAAAAAAAAATTGGTTTGAAAGAATTTATACATAATAAAATGACTAGTGTCTAAAATAAGTTTGAACTTATAAAAAAAGGACTACAGTGCTAATGGTTGCATTTATACTACAAGGATAATACAATGTAAATTTTTTGGAGGTTCAAGATTCAAATAATAGATTTGAAAAAAATAAAAAATAGAAAAAAATTATTTGTATGAATGTATTTTGCACCTGTCATTCATTCCATATTTTCAAAGACTATGCTTCTATGTGTACTTTTTAAGTATATAAAATTCCACGAAGAATGTTTCTACAAAGTAAGTTTTCGAGTCATCTGATAGATAGATAAACTCAAGCACTTGGACCGTACTTATATTACTTCTTATAGTTAAGTCATATAATTTTATGCTGGATTTGCATGAACAAAACTTTCATAAACTATTGAATATCACACAATAATAGGATTTGTAAAGGAGACGTACCTAAAGAATAATAATATTGTTATTCAGTATATCACACACCTGAGTATCAAGCATCAAAATCAAATATAATATGTCTAGAAAATATTTTAATTATTATTATAGGATTTGTAAAGGATATGCACATGAAGAAAAACTTATTTTAGAGAATTTATATATGATCAAATAGTTGGCATCTAAATTAGGTTTGACCTTGTAGAAAATAGATTGTATTGTTAATGATTGCATTTTATATTACCAGGGTGATATAATGGAGATTGAATGTAAATTTTATCAAGATCCAAGATTTAAATGATAGAGTAAAAAGGTAAAAATAGATTGCATTTTATATTACCAGGGTGATATAATGGAGATTGAATGTAAATTTTATCAAGATCCAAGATTTAAATGATAGAGTAAAAAGGTAAAAATAGAAAAAAAAAAGTGTACAAGTGTGTCTTCTAATTACCACTTATTTCATATTTTAAAATATTACATGGTTTTATGCGTAGTGTTGAGTATATAAGATCACGCCAAGAAAGATTATACAAAGTAAATGATATATGAAGAAGCTTTGAAGCACTTCAATCATACTTAACCTAATTTTTAGACCTAAGCCATATAATGTTATGAGTAGTTTGTATGATGATGATTTCATGCCATACAATCAAACTATTTTACTTTATGTTGATTTGTGATAGTATACCCTATAACTCGTTGCATTAGATATTCATGACTATATTTTTTTTATATTTCTCACACTGATTAGATTAGGCTCGCACGGCTCAAAAGGAAAAATTAATGTATATTTACAACCTTTAATAGAAGAGCTATAAATCTTATAAGATAATAGTGTAGTCAAAATATTGCTACAAAGCAAGCTTTTAAATAAAGGCAACTCTTATGTGGATGATAAATAATTTTCATGCATATGAAATGCAATCAGGGTGAAGCGTTATTAGAAAATTAGCTTGTCCATATTGTATGAATCTATAGAGTTCATTTACTCTAAAAGAATGGTATAAAAAGTTCTTGATTTATCAATCATTGGGCTTTTCATGCCATTGATCATCCATTCAAAAGAAATAAGATTGTATTCATAAAAATAGAATGAAGAAATCTATTGATTATTAAATCTTCTATCTAGCTTTCATGTTATATTTTTTTCATGCATATAAAAAAATTATTGTATTATATTTTCAGTATTATGATGGATATTAAGAACAAATATAAGATAACACAAATTCCATATTGGCCTAAGTATCTCGGACTATCCACCCAAATGGTCCTTGCAGATCCCCTCACAATCTTTCTAAATCTACCTTACAAAATTTTGTTATCTCACACACATATAGATTCTTCATACCACAATGTTCATGAGAAAGTCCCCACTTTAAAAAAAAATCATCTTTTGTAGCCCCGAGAGACGCCACTTGGATAACAACCATGTTAAATCCCAATGTTAGTTCGTTGATGACAGAGTTTCTTATTGGAGCATCGAAGCTCTCTTTCTTTTGTGAGGGTTCATTGCTTGGTTTTGTATGTGGCACCTTGGCACCACTAGAAGGGCGCTCCAATTCATAAAGGGGTGCTTAGGCGTCATAGGCTCTATATGGCGTGTTTGATGGGCGCTTGGGTGCCACATATGCTTCCATAAGGTAGCGCCTTTGCGCCACTCCATGTGAACTGGATTTGGATTCCATTGGACTTATGTATGAAGCAACTTCCTTTTATCTTTCTCCAATATCTGGCTAATGCATATTTAAGCTCTCATAAATACGTATCTCCTGCAATTAAATAAAAAGAACTTAGAAATGTACAAAAAAAAGATATATAATAGAGAAAAATGGTATGAAAATTCAGATAGATTATCACAAATCTTTAGCAAATCATTTCCTTTGCTCGCTTGCAGGTATTTATCCTTCCCCTATCGAAAGATTGGATTTTACGTCGATCCTTGCCAAAAAAATGGGATCTTTTCCAAACTAAAAGATTGGATTTTGCTGCAGCAGACATTCCCGGCCTACTTCAAGTAGCAACAGCCGCAAGAACTCATTCTAGAATTCCTTCGGCCGGTCTACAGACCCTCTCCGACTTTTCCTTATAGTCGCTAATCCCTGTCGCAAGCTCTCTTCACTGGATTCTTCTAGCAAGCCTTCATCGGTAATATCTTCGTTGTTGAATCTATCCTGCAGCCCGATTTCTTTCTGCTACAAACCGTTCTCCGCCGGATTCTCCTTACAGGCCCTCCATGGTTCGATTTGTTTTCGTCAGACTTTTCTTCTTACAGAATCAACGATCAACTTCCTCTCTATAAAAAGTTGCAAACCCTAAATACACATAGGATTTATGATCAAGTACGGTGTGAAGGTGTCAAGTTTCACTCAAGGTTGATCATCCCTTTTGTGAATGTTGCAAGAAAGTTGGTCACACAAAAGACAAGTGTTAGAAACTACATGGAAAGCCTATAGAATTGAAATCTAAGCAAGGAAGGATAGACCAAGACAACAAGGCTCATGTTACTGCCTCTTCTAAAGGGTAGGCCAACCCTAGCCCTTTCACCAAGGAATAGTTGGAGGTGTTGAACAAACTTCTTTTGAGCACAATTGAGCGGCCTACCAATTTGATGATACACCAATGTATCATATCCTCCTCCTCTCTCACTAAGGATGGAAGAATTTGGCCTTGGATAATACATTCAAATGCTTTTGATCATATGACTGGAGAAATTCATGCTCTTAACAACTAGCAAGAGTTCAACGACTCCAAATTTGTCAGATTTATTAATGAATCTCGATCTAAATTTATTGGGCAAGGAGAAGTGAAAGTATTCAAAGATATTTAATTTTCTTTTATGTTATATGTTATTGAATTAGATTGCAACTTATTGTCAATTACAAAGCTTACTCATGAATTGCCATTTTAATATTTATGAATTTTAGATGGTGGATTTGGAGAAGATGCTAAATTGCATCAAGGTATATAAGTGCTTGGTGAAAGTTATTCTCTTAAAACAAGTGTCCTCTTTACTATCATCCTCCCATATTCTTGAGTACTTTATGTCTTATTCTATTGAAAGTCAAGTTCTATTATGAGATCATCGTCAGGGTCATCTCAATATTTATTATATTGTAAAGTTGTACCTTTATCATTTTATTAATTAAAAATTAGAGTTTTATCAGTGGATCCTGCTAATTGGCTAAACAGACTCATCATGTATATCATTTATCCCAATAGAACCCCCTTATCCTTTCTTTAGCATCCACAGTGATATTTGGGGACCATCAAAATTGAAATTTATCAATGGAGTCAGATGGTTTGTCTCCTTTATTGATAATGACACTAGAACTAGTTGAATATTTCTCTTGAAGAAAAAATTTGAAACTACACAAATCTTTCATTCTTTTATAACATGATTTTCACTCAATTCCATTACAAAATCCATGTTGTCAAAATTGATAATGTAAAGGAAAACTTCAATTCTATCATTAGCCCCTACCTTGCAAAGAACAATATCATACATGTGAATTTTTGTGCTCAAACTCTACAGCAAAATGGATTAGCTGAAAGAAAGAATGAACATCTCCTTAAGATACCTTGATCTATAATGTTTTCTAACAATTTCCTAAAAAATTTCTGTAAAGTTGTCGTGCTCACATTCACCTACCTAATAAATAGAATGTCAAGCAGGGCCCTTCAATTCAAATCCCATCTCGATATTATGATGGAAAAAAAATCCTCGTGTCAGAGCCTTCTTATCCAATCCTCCCCTAAAAATATTTGGTTGTGTATCATTGGTTCACATTCATCAACCAAATCACATAAAACTTGACCCAAAATCCATCAAATTTTTCTTCTTTGGGTATTCTTCTAACAAAAAATGATACAAGTGTTATTCTGTCATTTAAAAAAAAAACTCCATGGATGTTAAATTCTTTCAAACCAACCCTACTAACTCAAACTTGATATTCAAGGTGAGAATCCAGGTGAATATTAGACTTGGGACACCACTCTAGATACTCACACTAATTGAGAGACAAAACAACCTATTCTACTTCACTATTTGGGATACCCGTACAGATCTAGATTTATCACTCCCTATTCTCCTTCCTTTTAACCATCCTGTCTCCCAAGTTCCACCGATTGAGAACATCCAGCTTGAAATTGACAACAAGGACTTCATGTGTATGCTAGGAGAAATAAATTTACTGAAAAAAATAAAAACAATGTGTAACCACTATACTATTCACTACTAAACCTGAATTAACACATCTCTGAAGTTCAAAGGGAGGTTGAATCTAGTGGTGAAGACAAAGAAAGTTGCATGAATTATCCTATCCAAGATTTTGTTGTCTATGGAAGTTATCATCAACTTATAAAGATTTTATTTCTAATATTGATAGTGTGCAAATACCCAAATTTATTCATGAAGCATTCCAAAGTCCAGAATGAAAAAAGGCAATTGAAAAGGAGATCCAAACACTTGATCTAAATGGCATATGGATTTTAGAAAGCTTCCACCTGATAAAAGGCTTGTTTGGTGCAAAAGGGTCTTCAATATAAAGTACAAAGCTAATGGAAGTATTGAGAGATTCAAGGCTAGGTTGTTGGCCAAAGGTTTCACTCAGTCTTACGGGATAGGCTTTCAAGAGACATTTGCTATAGTGGCCAAGTTAAACACTATAAAATTTTTTCTTTCCTTGGTTGCGAAAAAATAATGGGTACTCCACGAACTTGATATCAAGAATGTATTTCTGAATGAAGACCTTAAGGAAGAAGTATATATGAAAATCCCACCACGATTAGGAAATAACTCAAATAATTATCTGGTTTGTAAACTAAAAATGTCACTTTATGGTCTCAAACAATCTCCAAGAGCTTGGTTTGAAAAGTTTGCGAAGACTATAAAATCTAATGGATACATCCAATATCACGCAGATCAAACATTATTCATAAAACATACATAGGGAGGTAAGAAGGTTATATTCATTGTCTATGTAGATGATATGATTTTGACAAGTGATAAAAAAAAAGGAGATCGGGAAAATCAAGGAGGTCCTTTGCCACTTAATTTGAAATTAAGGATCTAAGAGCGATGAGATACTTTTGAGGCATGGAAGCGACCAAATCCAAGATGGGTATTGTGATATCCCAAAGAAAGTATATCCTATTCATACTAAAAGAGACATGAATGTTAGGATGCAAATCTATTAAAACTCCTATGTTTTAAACAAAGAGTTACATTCAGGGATAGAAAAACAATGAAAAAATGTCGATACCAGAGATTGTTGGGTAAGATTGTATATCTGTCACACACTAGTCCTGATATCACTTACTCTATCAACATTGTGAGTCACATAAGAATAATCTGAATGAAGAACATATGAAGATGATTTACAGCATATTGAGATTTCTTAAGAAAACCCCTAATAAAGGGTTACAATTTAAGAAATCATACAACAGGAAGGTATAGGTTCACACTGATGCTAGCTGGGCGGGAGAACTCTCTAACACAAGGTCCATTTCTTGGTATTATTCATATTTATGAGGAAATCTTATCACCCCGAAGGAGCAAGAAGCAAATAGTGGTCTCTATAAGTAGTGTAGGATCCGTGTTTCAGGCACTTGCTTTAGGAATTTGTGAAGGGATGTGGATCCAAAGGTTGCTGAGTTGGTATACTCTGCGTGTAATCTCAGAAAGATTTCTGTGATAGCCAAGCCGCCATTAGTATTGCAAAGAATCATGTGCTTCATGACAGGATCAAACACATTGAGATTGATAGACTTTTTATCTCTAAAAATGTCAATGGAGGTATTATTCACTTAATCTACATTCCGACGAATCTTTAAGTCAATGATTTCTTACTAAATTCTTATCTCCATGCAGCTTCACTTATTTGAATACCAGCGTGGGCCTTCACAACATATATGACCCAGCTTGACAGGGAGTATAGAATTATGAGTTCCCTAATTTAGTGTGATTCTTTTTTATTTTCTCTTTTTATGTCATATTTCTTTCCTTCTTGAGTTAGTTTATCTTTTGTAAATTGTAATGATTGTAATTAAGTTCGTCTTAGTCATCTATTATATAAGAAGAAGAGTTGTAATTTGATTATTAAGAAATAAAAGAAAATGGTTTCTCCACCTTTCTTCAATTAACTATAAAGTTTATAAGCTACATATAGAACTTTTATCATACAAAATTAAGCTACATATAGAACTTTTATCATACAAAATTTCCACATGGTCATTTGATATAATCTTCATTCAAAATACATACCACACAAGCTCTATGCATTAACATATCTAACAACTAAACATTCATATTACATGCATATCACTCAACTATTTAACATCACACCAAAAAGACTACCATCATCGCCTTTTTAAAAGTGAATTATATCTTTTCATGCATTCGTTTATGACACCAAGATATTATAAATGTAAATATCAACATATGAGTATTAGATATGTAAATACATAAGAATTACAAGGTATGTATTTTGAATCATATTATTTCTTATAAGAATCATATTATTACAGTCTCTTTATTCTCTCATTTCAAAACAAATCTATTAATGATATACATTTTTCTATATTGACATTTATTCAAAAGTTACCAAATTAAGATTAAAGCTTCGGCCTCCATAATAACTTGGTTGCAAAGATTCATAAAGGGATCCGACCGTTAGATTCTGATGAAGACATTGCAGCCAGGACCTCAGTAACAGAAGCCATGGAACTTTGAGCTGTTTTAAGGATCTTCAGGTTTCAGAATGCTCCAAACCTATTTATTTTCAGGGGAAAAAAATATGAAGAACAGTTAGATGAGAACACAATATGAAAGTTTAGACATAAAGCTATGACGTTTATGATATCAAATTATGTAGTGTTTGACATAAAAAAAATATGGCGTACATTCGCACGTGCCAGATACACTAATGAATTGTTTAAGTTAGAAGGGGCATTTACATACATACCACTCAATTCTTATATATTTACACATCTACATTATACCACCCATATCTTTCATTTACATCAAAGTGCCACTTTTTTTATTTTTAAATAGTGAAAAATACATTTTCATGTATATGTAAGATGACAAATACAGAAAAATTGAAGTTTAGGTATTAGATATGTATATACATAAGAATTGAGGGGTTATGTATGTAAACCTTCCAATTAAAATAAATAAATAAACAATAGCCCAAAACTAATAACAGACTCTTAGTTTTGAAAGAAACAACTGAAATAACTCTGTAACAAATGATTTCATTACATTCCTTTATTTTATAATGTTTATTTTAGGCCTCTTTTGTATAAAATACAATTTATCATCATATGTATTTGCAATTATTTTACCATACAAACATATATGATGTACTACATTTTTTTTCAAGGAGCATCTAGAGACATAGCACCTCAAACTCTACTATTTGCAAAACTAGCACCCTCTTTCATCTTTTTTCCCAACTCTATATTTTTCATATTTATCAAATTCTTAATGTTTGATCATGACATCATGCATAAATGCATCAGTTCGAAAGTTAAACAAAAATAACACGGATGCTAGTTTTGTAAATAACATAGTTTCAAGTGCCATGTGTGTAATAACCCTTTCAATAATTGTATATCTCGTGTATGTGACCACATATTCGTATCGGTGCATCACAGTCTACGAGCATTAATTTTCAACAACTTTGACAAAGAAATGAATAAGGGAATAAAGCAACAAATAACCTTTGTCCATATAGTTATGGAGATGTAATCCTAATCTTCAAGACACAAAGTGAGAGATTTCACATCAGTTCCCGGTCCATCAAACTGAAGGGGCCCTGGATCTCTGTACAAGTCATCCATGAGAAAACTGGAGGCATTTTGCTTCAGCTTCCTGTAGGTTAAATGGAAGAATCAGCTCATAGATGCACTGGTAAAATAGGAAGATTTACATACATACCACTCTTTTGTATTTATACATATATCTAACACCATAACCTCAATTTTTACATATATGCGACCTTACATTTGCATGAAAGGATGTATTTCACTTTTTAGAAGTTAAAATGGTGTTATTTACGTGATATAAAAGATTTGAGTTTTATATATAAATGTAAAATGTAAATTTTAGGTAAAATGGTGTTATTTACGTGATATAAAAGATTTGATTGTTATACATAAATGTAAAATGTAAATTTTAGGTTTAGATATGTAAATATATAGGAATTTGGTGGTATGTGAAAGAACGAAAACATACTCATATAATTTTCCTTCCAGGTCAACTACAGCGGGATAAAGCGAAGTGCCATTTGAGCATTGCTTCATTGTCATCATTGCCTGCCAATAACAAATAAAATGGGTAATGAAAATAATTAATTAAAATTATTAGAATATTTTAATGATGAGTAATAGCCATTATTTAATTATGATTATTCTGAGTTATTTCATTTGATTTCCCTCCTTTTTCTATTATGTTCAGTTTCACTTCTTTTTCTTCTTATTATATCCTGAGTTTAATTTTTTTTTCCTTTTTAGTTGATCCTGTAATGGGTATATATACTCCTCTTTGTATCAATAAATGGTATCTTGGGTTTTATTCTAATATGGTATCAGAGTCAGGTTCTAACCTAACTGTCAGGCTCTCCCTGCAGCCGTCTATAAGCTCCTGCAGCCAGCCATACCTTAATCCAAGCTCCTGCAGCTGGCTAGGCCTGCCCTTCCCTAATCCCACCTCCAGGATCCCGTCTCCAGCTTCTGCCAAATTCCAAGAATTCCCATGATTCCCGCCTCCAAAGCTAGTTTCCGTCTCCAGCTGTCTGTGCCAAGAATTCCAAGAAAGTTGTTGTCTGTGTCGTTGTATCAATACAGAATTCTTCCTGAATTATGCCCAGTTCCAGCTTCTGCTAACTTTTTTTTTTTTACCAAATTCCAGCTTATGCCAGAATTCTGCCAGGTTCTAGGGTGTATTAATACAAAAGTGTGCCAGATTCCAGCTTCATATTTCTTCCAGCATATTTGATATAATCGCCGGAAACTTCGTCACTGGTCAGAAGATCTTATCTTCCCAAGGCCATTATCCTTCCCTCTAGCAGTCGGAACCTTACGATGTCTAAACAACTTAACGTCTCGTTTGGCTCAATCGGAACCACGACGGACTACTTCAGCACTGAGCTATCATTAGAAGGTGTTTTTGATACCACCGGAGGATCAATTCCAACATTTGTTTCTCTGCAAACCGGAGGACAAGAAATCAACGTGAACTTCTTGATCACAACTCATAAATAAACAACAATAACTTTCTCCAATGGTCCCAATCTATATCTTTGTTCATTAAAGGGCGTGGGAAATTTGGTTTTCTCACTAGTATGATTCGTGAACCTCCAAAAACGGACCCAGCGTATGTAGCTTGGGAAGTGGAGAATTTTATGGTCTTGTCGTGGCTAATCAACTCCATGGAGACTTCAATTGGCCGATCATATATGTTTCTTCCATCCGCTAGTGCCTTTTGGACGGCAGTTTGTGATACCTACTCGAATGTGGGGAATTCCAAATAACTCTATGAGGTATCAAAGAAAATCCGTAAGGCAAAACAAGGATCTAAGACCGTGACCCGATACAATAATGCTCTAGTTACAACATGGATAGAATGTAACTTATATTATGACTACACTTGGAAATCTCCGGCCAATCTGTCTCTTTTTCAAAAAATTATAAAAAGTGAACACATGTTCCAATTGATGGAAGATCTCGACAAAGATATTAACGAAGTATGGGGTTGTATCCTTGGTCGAGATACTCTTCCTTCTACTCTCACTGCTTTCACTCAGATTCTTCGCGAAGAGAGATGGAGACTTGTAATGCTCGGTACTTCCACTCCGTCTATCGAAGCATCTGTCTCGGTCTCTAAAAGTGCACAACCCCGTGCCAATCACCTCACTTGTCATTTCTACCCAAACCCAACCACACTTGTGATAAGTGTTGGAAGCTCTACGGGAAACCTGCATCCAAACCTTCCGCCAAATCTTCCGCTGTCAAGGGCCTCGCCACGACATCTAAATCTAACACGGTACAACCGACCTCTACCCAGAACAATCCATAATCCTCCAATTCTCGTAAGAGTCAAATGGAGCAACTAATCAAGTTGCTTGGATCCAACAGGCTCTCTTCCGACCCGTCAACCTCCCGCGTTCATCAAGGTACCAATTCTATGACACTCACTTCTTTTGCCTGTTCTAGTTCATTGATCATTGATTCAGGTGTCATAGATCAAATGACTGGAAGCTCTCAAGTCTTCTCAACACACTATCCTTGTTTAGGGAATGATATTGTTAAAATTGCTCACGAGTCTTAAATCTCTATTGCTGATAAAGGGTCTTTTATTTAACAACAGACCTAACTCTCGAATCAGTGTTACATGTATCTCTGTTGAAATATAACATTTTATCAGTTAGTAAGCTAACATATGATATTGATTGTGCTGCTCATTTTTCCTTTGATGTTTGTGTCTTTCAGGATCGTTGTTTGGAAAGGATGATTGAAACTGCTAAGCGAGTTGACGGACTCTACTTCTTCTAAGAAAAAAAAACATGGAGAATGAGGACACTCCATCCTGTAGTTGCAGTTTATCTTAGTCTTTTAATTGTCCTATTATGTTGTTACACTGTCATTTAGGTCATCCTAGTTTTCAGTATCTAAAGCAATTGTATCCGTTGATGTTTACTAATAAAAATACTTCTAATTTTAAATATGAAACTTGTCAGCTAGCTAAACATTATCATGTTTCTTATCCACCTCACAATTACACAACTTCCGCTTCTTTCTCTCTTATTCATAGTGACTTATGGGGGCCCTCTTGCACCCCTAACTACACCAATAAATGGTAGTTTCTTACTTTGATTGATGATCACACTCGAATGACATAGATCTATATTTTAAAAGATAAATTTGAAGCTGTTGACACTTTCAAAAATTTTCACACCTTCATTTTGACTCATTTCAAAACTTTTATTCAAAGTCCTTCGGACTAACAATGGTCGTGAATATTTTAACTTTATATTAGAAGAATTCTTGGTAAGTAAGGGCATCTCCATCATAGCCCTTGTCCTGACACTCCTCAACAAAATGGGATAGTTGAGAGAAAAAAAATGACATTTCCTTGACGTCACTCCCTCTATTATATTTCACTCCAATGTCTCAAAAGTGTTTCTAGAATGATGTCATTATTACTGTCACTTATCTCATAAATAGAGTCCCCTAAAAAAGTCACAACTTTCGTACCCCTTTATCCATATTAAGATCATTCTCTCCTAAGAATTGTGTCTTCTCCATTTTAAAACCCAAAATTTTTGGATGCACAACCCTTGTTCGGAACACAACTCTAACTTGGAGTAAACTTGATCCTAGGTCCATAAAATGTGTTTTTTTCTAGGATATTATGCCACACAAAAGGGGTATTGATGCCTTGACCCTACCACAAATAAGGTCTACGCGAGTGTTGATATCTCTTTTTTTGAAAGTATTCCCTACTTTCCTAACTCGACCTCATGTGAAGGGGAGCTATAGTTCTTGGACATCTTTCCTTACCCAACTCCTGTGGATGTTCCCCCCACATCACCTACCATCGATGAACCTTTCATTCCTTTTGTTCCAACCATCTTTGCTACCACCAAAGAGCCCTCTGTTCCTCTGATTCCACCTGCACACCCTCTCACGCTCCATTTCTACGCTCGACGCACCGTTCTGATGCCCCTACTTAGGAGCTCGCTAACACCTTATTGAACCCATAATCTCCTCCGGACGACATCCCCAGCACTTCTCCAACTCAAAATGAGGAAGTCAATTCCCCTAGTAAGGTACGCAATCAAACATGTTCTCTTTATCCTATGAGAAACTATGTCTCCTTTTGCAGATTATCGTCAAACTACAGAGCATTTGTTACGGCCCTAACAAATTATTAACTTCCATCTACCATTGAGGTTACTTTAGCAGGCCCAACCCGAAAAGCTGTTGTCATAAAGGAGATAAATGCCCTTAAGTGAAACCATACTTGGGACATAGTTGATCTTCCTCAGGGCAAGAACGCATTGGCGTTTCGGTAGATTTTTAGCATCAAGTTTAAATTTGATAAATCCATTGAACGCAACAAGACACGGTTGGTCTCCAAACAGTACTCACAGACCTACAAAGTTAACTACGATGAGACATTTGCTCCAATGGCAAAATTAAACACCATTCTGGCTCTCTTATCCCTATTAGTGACTTTGGATTGACCCTTATTCTAACTTGATGTCAAAAATGTGTTCTTCAATGGTGATTTTACATAAGAGGTTTACATTGTTCTTCCTTTAGGCTTTAACTCCACAGTCTCCCAGGGGAAAGCATATAGACTGTGAAAGTCTCTTTATGGACTGAAACAATCACCACGAGCATGGTTCTGGAATTCACAAAGGTGGTGGTAGGCCATGTATTCACTCAGGCTCAATCAGACCACACACTCTTTTTCTGACATTCCTCCAGCAACGAGGTGGTTGTCTTTATCATTTATGTCGATGATATTGTTCTCACAAGGAATAATCTACTAGTATTGGAATCTCTGAAAGACATTCTTGCCGCCTCCTTTGAGATGGGATCTCGTATTGGAATCTCTGTACTTCTTAGGATGGAAGTTGTTCAGTCATCTCAAGGCATTTTTCTGTCTCAGCGGAAATATGTCATTAACCTTTTGGCAGAGAATAATCTTCTTCTTGCAAACCAGTAGATATCCTGATGGATCCAAATGAAAAGCTTCTTGATGTTTGCAAGGCAATTCCTGTAAACAAGACTCACTACTAGTGTCTTGTGGGTAAGCTTATATACCTCGTCCATACATGCCCTGACATATGATGCGTAGTTGAGATAGTAAGTCAATTCATGCATGACCCCTATAAGCATTATCTCTAAACTGTCCATCAGATTCTCCACTATTTAAAAGGCACATCGGGTTCAGGTTTGTATTTTTCCCGCTACACCTCTCGCAATATTGTTGTTTTCACAAATGTTTATTGAGTCAGACCCGTTCATGACCGGTCATCTCGGGGTACTGCTCATTTGCATGGTGAAATCTGATCACGTGGAAAAGCAAAAAATAGATCATGGTTGCCCGAAGCATTGCTGAAGCGGAATTTCGAACCATACTACTAGGAATTTTTTAGGCTCTCTGGTTATACATCATGCTCTGAGAACTGCGTATGTCAGTCTCCGTTCCTCTACAATTATTTTGCGATAACAATGCAGTCATTAGCATTGCTCACAATCTGGTACAACATGATCACACTAAAAACGTTGAGATTGACCAACATTTCATTAAGAAAATACTCGAGTTTGGAGAAATTTGTGTTCCGTTTGTGTCATCTAGTAGCCAACTGACGGATATCTTCACAAAGAACCTTCCACTATTCAATGATTTCAATTCCAAGTTGAACATGACTGACATATATGCTTCAACTTGAGAGGAATTATTAGAATATTTTAATGGTTAGTAGTAGTCATTATTTAATTTTGACTATTCTGAGTTATTTCATTTGATTTTCTTCTTTTTTTTTATTATATCCAGTTTTATTTCTTTCCATTTCTAGTATATCCTTTTCTAGTTGATCCTGTAATGGGTATATATACCTCTTTTTGTATCAATAAAAAATATCTTGGGTTTTATTCTAACAAAATGCAAAAAAAACACAACAATTGAGATAATTTTATATGATAAAAGTGCTAAAATGGTTCGGTGTTTATTTACAAGAGTCATTTTAGCCCCAAAATTTAAAAAATTGTCAAATTACTCCATATATATTTTTTAATACGGGCTGAAACAAGAGTTTGGAGATTAAGGAGTGGAAGAGAATTGGAGAATATAGTTCGAAAAGATGTTAAAATTGAAAATTTTGTCAAGAGTTTAGATTGTCTGAGCCCATATTAGAGTCTAAGGACTAATTAGCATTTTTACAAACACCGAGCCTAAAATGTCACCTGCAAAAGTTAGAGAACAATTTTTACATTTTCTCACTTTTATATATACATACATAGAAAAAGAAAAGTGTCAAATTAATCCGTCTTTTTTCTAGGCGCCATGTTAGTCCCGATTCTAGAAGTGACAAATTAGTCCCATATTTTTTTTAGTATTAGACTACAATAGTCCTAGCAAAAAGACTATTTTGGCCTCTCATTAAAAGAGTTTGGGGACTAAATTGACACTTTATATACTCTGTGACTAAAATGATCAAATGTAAACGGTCAAAAAATATTTTGACACTTTACTTGGAAATGTGGAATAAAGGACTAAATCTTTTTATTTTATTTTATTGGTTTCAACTATAAGATAATAGAATAATGACTTACTATGATTGGAACAGCACCACATCTCCATTTTTCCACAGAATGTTTCAGATTTGTTGCAGTCGCCATATAACCATTCAAACCAGCTGCTACAATGTGGTAGCAGATGTGCCCAAGAACCTAAGTATAATTAGTTTACTAATTATATTGTAATTAGTTGGTAAAGAAGAAGAACTCCACCTTATGAGAATACTTACATAGGCATAATCACAATCAAATTTTGATGGCAAAGATCCTCTAGTTTGGTAGCCAAAGAAGTGACAGATGGGACTGAATTTTTTCCCTTTGTAAATGCCTTCTTTCTGAGATTTAAACTGAATATGGTCAAAGTTGAAATATTAAAAAATTATGGGGCATTTGCATACATATCACACAATTCTTATGTATTTACATATCTCACAATTAAACTTTCATATTTATACAGATATCAATCAAATCTTTACTATCACATGAAAAAATAGCACTATTACCACATTTCAAAAAAGTTAAATACACATTTTCATGCATAGGTTTAAAGCACATAAATGTTGTGTGTAAATATGAAAGTTTACATATGAGATATGTAAATATATAAGAATTGTCTGCCATGAATGTTGATTTCCCAAAAATTATTATGAATGGAAGTATAAATGAGAGAGATTGATGGTTGGGTTGAGAAATTTAGTATGAATTAAACAAGAAAAAAAGAAAGAAAAATAATGAAAGAATGGAAATAAAATCACAGAAACTGAGCTATGTCTGAAATCACCATTCTCTTGTTCAATTCTGCTTCCACCAGCTGAACTATGAGTTTTTCTGTCTCTATCTGAGTAGAGAACTCAAAAAATAAGTACACAAAATAAAGCAGAAAACAGAAATTGTTTTCAAAACTTGAGCTCTCACACATAAAGATATTGTTTGTTTTGGCCTAATGGCTTTACGGTTCTACCGATTAGTGTAACTTCTCAGAAGGTCACTCGCGAGTACTTCCACACGAGCACATTCAACTCGTGTTATCCACCCCTAAATTTTTACTAAACTTTTTAATATTGTATAATGCACCCATAAATTTAAATGCTTAATATTAATTTATTATTAACTATACTTTTAATTTAATAACAATTTTAATAATAGTTTTAAAATCTTTTTAAGGAGATAAAAATTTATACATGAATATTCACCATCCTTTTAACTTTTAATTTCAACAACCCTCTTTAAGTTTTGGTTTCACAACTGCATTTAACATTGTATTTTCTAATGAAATTTTAACCGTTACATCAAAAGACATCTCAATGTTTAAGAGTTCAGCTTCATTTTACATGGACGGTGTCACACATTTTTTATTCAAAATACATATTTTCATGAAGAAACCTTTACCTGAGAAAGCTGTGCTGAAATATCAGATTCAGGAGGAAGTAAAAACTGCATGACAGGAGAAATTTTATTAACAATTAGCTATATTCTGCATGTTTAGCATCATGAGGTGTTCAATAACGCTTAATCTGACTACAGAAGGATGGAAGAAAACCTGTTTTCTGATAAATGGTGGCAGAAATTCAAATAATGCAGATGCTGAAGGAGAGAGATGAGAAGAAATGCTCTCTGTATCAACTCCTTGGCTTTGAAGGTCATGAATTTCCTACAAGAAACATGGCAAAAAAAAAAATTTCTTACAACTGAAAGAGAACAGATTGGTGCAAATAAAGAATAATTAAAGCTGAAAATTGAGAAGCCGAAATTTATTCGAGTGAAGTATTAAAATAGTCCCTTGACTCTTTAGATATAGTCATTTTGGTCCCAAAATTTATAGAAATGCTAAATTAGTCCCTAGATCCTTTTAATGAGGGCTACAATAGTATTCTCTATGGATTATTTCAACTCGTATTAAGAAAGTCTGGGGACGAAATTAACATTTTTATAAATTATGGGACTTAACATGTTTCCTAGCAAAAAGTCAGGATATTATGATACTTCTCTCAATTTTACTTTAAGAACAAGATGACTACCTGCAACAGTGCAGACAATTCTGGAATAATTTCGACTAGCCCCTCGGGGATGAGGATGACACCATGGTACTTTCCTGCATGGAATTCATTGCATTAATTAGTGAATTTGCATGTAATTAATTAAAAAGGTGAACTGTGCTCGCTGCTCAACCTTGCTCTGATCTTGCTTGAACTGCATCACTTATTTGTTTTATAATATCAAAGAGAGAATTTTTAGAGTTATCCACCTCTTCACCTAGGATTACCTGTTTTGTGAAGCAGAAGTTTAGCTCTCATGGGATTTCATATATTACAAAGTTTTCACATGTTGTGTGGACATTTAAATGAGAGGACCTTTCATTTTAAAATATAAATGGGGGTATTTATGTAATACCACCCAATTCCTATGTATTGGCATTTCTAACACCAAAACTTTACTTTTGACATTTATACCACCCATATCTTTTATATCACCAAATCTTCCAAAAAAAGAAATATGAATGATGAATGAACAACCATATTTGGATGCGACTGGAGAGCACATTCCAAAGCAACATGAGATGCGTTGTGTCCCATCACGCGAATGAAGTGATAATACTGCAAAAGAAATAAGAGGAAAATAATTACATTAGAGAATGAAAATGCAATTTTTTATTTGTGTGTTTAGTACTGCAAACTCTGAGCTATTATAAAATGGGGATTCAGTTTGTGATTGAAAAATGAGCCATTTAAGTAGGCATGTAATGAAACCCAATGAATGCTTAAGTTTAATACATGGACCTTTTGATTGAGCTGAATAGAGATTTTGTTGTGGGATCTAATCCACACTTTTCTTCACTTCTATGTAAATTCCTTCGGGGCTAAGCTTTCTCCCTTTTCATATGCATTTTCTTTCTTTGGTTATAAATCCTAATGAGGTTATTTAGGGCTCAGTAGGGTGATTCAAGTTAGAATCTTATTTTGCAAAAAAGTAAAATTTGTTAAAAGTTATTAATTGATTGAATGTAATTAGTCCGACATGATTTCATACTTCATAAATTGTAAGAATAATAAAAAAAGAGAAGCCACAAACACAAATCAACAGAGATAAAAAATCACAGGCAGAAGTAAAAAGGAGAAAATAAATTTGGAGAGTGATAACTCACATGAAATGCTAAGCTCGGCTGGAAATTTAATATATATAGGCATTTAGAAATCCCTAATAAAATCAACCCTGAAAACTTAAGCCCCGCCTCCACACCTCGAATTGAGTTCGTGGGTTGGGTTCAAATCTGACCCAAAATTAACCATAACCAAAATTAATTACTTGCCCCAAATCCGACTTGAATATTAAATGGGTAGAAAAGTCCAACCCAAACTTGATCCGCCTTCAATCAACTGACTTGAGCTCGACCCGCATAACATGTTTAACAGTCGGCATAAAAGCTTCAAAGTCAATTTTTAGCAAATTTGGGTCAATCTCAGGTCAATTTTGAGTTGGCAGATCAATTTCAAGCCATTTTGAATTAGCGGGTCTATTTTAGGTCAAATTCGGGTTGGCAGGACAACCAGAGTCAGACCTAAAAATTTAATCGGGTTAGGATTCCTAACGCAAACCCGACCTGAAAAATTTTTGGGTCAACCTGAACTTGGATTTCAAGTAGAGTTCGGTCGAGTTAGCATGTCAAAATCAAGTTTTGACGCCCCTAAGCTATGGGATCAAGCGTATCAACCCAATCCCTCCACTACCACCATAGGTCCCCACTAAAATCTTCTCGTTATTTAGCTTGCACCACAGACGTCGCACCATAAACTTTTTGATCTATGTCCAACAGAATTTGGGTCACAAACTCAAACATAAACCTTTTTAAAGCTATTCTAAAAATCACATTTATTTTCACATTCAAAATTATTGAAAATAAAATCACTATTTTCACCAACATATTTTCCATTTAAAAGCAATCAAATGAGCCCTCAGTAACTAACCAAGCTGAACTTTCTATCAAAAGTTGCATAATTCTTATATTACCTTCCCTGCAGAAAGAGCATCTAAGCAAATGTTGCTTGTAAGTTGTGAACTAACCTGAATATAAGGAAAAAAGAAATGTTAAATAGGATAGAAAATCAAAGGAATAATTAAAAAAACATTAAGAATTACAAAAAAAATAAAAATACATTGCATGACATTCTATGCAATATTTATTTGTTATTAATAGATTATATTTGTTTGTCATTAATGACAAATGAAATTGCATGGCACATTTCATTAGTGAAATAATTTGATATTTTAAACTGGCTCAGCATTGACCCTTTTGACTCCACAGTTGGACTATTAAAACTGCATAAGTAAGAATCTTGTGTCAAAATTCTATAATATTATTGGTGGATTGCATGATATAAAATTAGGTACCCTTCATTGTGCTGCAATACTTAAAAAAATAATAATAATTAAACAAAACTTTATATATGTTCACCCAATCAAAGGTTAAATCTTTTTATTTTAATTACAAATTTCACCATAATTTGCTTGTGGAGAATTTCATTTTTTTTTATTTTTTAATACCACAAAAGATAACACCCCACTTTTATTTAAAAAAAATGATTAGAGCGGCTAAAAATGAAAAAATAAATCAAAATATCCTTAGAAAATGATCTTAAACATTAGTCTTAGAAAATGATCTCATAGATTGACGCATGATTACGTTTATAAAACACATTTTTTTGTTAGAACAATAATTGTAAATTCACAATATGAAAATAAGAAAAAAAAAATCAGTACAATTAAACAAATAGAATAAAAATAATGAGATTCAAATGGCCTGGGAGGGAAGCGTACTGATGATACGATCCTTAATGTAGATTAAGCATTGGGTGCACTAATTTGTAACTCTCTCTTCTACTCTGGAGATACAACCCATTCTCGTCTTGATTATGAGTACACCACGACTAATCAAAAAAACTTCGAATTAATCATGCCCCTCTAATGTCCAAAAAAGAAGAAGGAAAGTTGATAGAGAAAGCATGAGAATTTTGAATTTTTCATCCACTTTCAAGCTCATATTCTCATCAATTTATAATTGAAAGATGAAAGAAAAATTATAAATATATCTATGATTTATTATCAAAGTAAAATAATATGAGGTGAAAAATATCATAAATCAAATTTGTTATTTCTTAATCTTATAAAAATACTTGATCAACTCTAAAATTGTGAGAACTATAATTATAAATTTGTAATATAAAAAAAAAAACTCAACACAATTAAGCAAATAAAATCAAAGTAATGAGATTGAAATAGTGGGAGGGAGGCATGTCAATGAAATTATCCATAAAGTAGATCAAGTCTTGGATTCAGCAATCTACGGCTCTCTCTTCCACTCTAGAGATATAACTCATCCTCTTGCTTTGTTTGTGTGCTCATCACAACCAATCAACAAACTTCAAACTAATTGTGTGTCTCTAGTTGCCAAAAATAAAAAAAAAGAAAGTTGATGGAGAAAGTATGAGAGAATTTGAAATTACTCATCCACTTTGAAGCTTATATTCTCGTATATTTATAATTGAAAGATGAGAGAAAATTCATGAATACAATTCATGATTTATAATCATTAAAATACGTATTTTATGTCATAAACTTATTCAATGATTTAAATTTAATTTGATTTATGTTATATGTTATAACATTAAAAATTTATAAGATTAATAATATTAATTTAATGTTTATTAAATTATACATATTTAACATTACATATTGTGCATCATGAATGCACTAACACTGATCTCGAGGAGTTCCAATGGTCCAGAAAGAAAGAAGCACAACAATGGAGAGCCCATTGACAAATGATCAAAAGGCCCACAACCATATGGATGCAACTAACCAAGCTAGGACAAAAGAAACGAACATAGTCCGAACCGATCGAGGTAGAGCAAGAGAAATCATCACTCGAGCTAAAGCAGGGCGAAGTCATTGACTTACCTCCCAATAGATCTGACTCAAGGAAAGGATCTAGTTCCTCGCCAGCACCTCGCCAGCCGCCCTTGAAAATCCCCAAAGGTTCCTCATCAAGGATTAAGGCGTGGCTATACAATACATCCTAACAATCCCCCCGAAGGATTTCCTCGTTAAGAAATAAGTTATCTATCGAGTTACGATGATTCACCATCTACTCGATGACCTAGTCTCGTTCTGCCGACAAAAGCTTCTTATTCAGTGATCGAGGGGTCGATAGTGAGACTAAATCAATAGATCAAAAAAATTTAGTCGACCGAGTTAGTTATGTCGACCAAAAGCTAATCAAGTCTATCTGACTGACCGCACTGATATAGCCTAACCGATCGAAGTATCCTTATTGAGTCAAAGTTATGCTAGCCAAGTCGACCCTATGTAGCCCCCATTAAAGTAGAGGCAAAAATGTAATCAGATATTGTATTCTCTCCCTTATAAATATGGAGATCATTTTATAAGAAAAGAATAATAGACGAGGTTTTACTATTAATTATTGTTCACTCATTCCTCTATCTGCATCCCATTTCTTACATTCTACTCATCGGGGTGTAATTCACGAACAAATCATAATTCAACACATACATAACATTATAATGTAAACAACTATAATATTTTTTTTCCGTTAACAACAATTTCTTCGTAGGGAAAACAATTAGACTGCATAGCTTAACATAACTAATATTAAAATTTTGAATTTCTATGGCTTGACTTCTGAGTTTAAATTGTAAATTTTGGCATAGTACAGGTTAGCATCAAGTAAAAAGAGAGAGAGAGAGAGAGAGAGAGATAGAGCATGGGCAATTTAGTTGGTTTATGCTCATTTGAAAATTAAAACTTGCTAAATTAATTTATTTTTTAATAAAAAATGTGGTTAATATGTACCCGGCATACAGTGTCAAATCCAACATCAGTCTCCACAAATTGATTCTTTAGATCTCCATTCAAAGTAACAGGTACACCAACCACCTGCCAATTTAACTTAGTTAATAACATTATATTCATAGTTCTGAAATCATGAAGATTAACAAATTACATACCACACAATTGCTATGTATTCGATATCTATTTTCAAAACACTAAAATTCTTAATGTCACGTCAAAAATACAACCATGACTTACTTTTAAAAGGAAAATACGCTTTTTCATGCATATGCTTGAATGTAATTATGACATTAAAGTTTTAACAATGTTAATATCAAACTATTGATTTTAGATATATAAATACATAATAATTATGTGATATGTGTGTAAATTTCTCAAAAGCAAAAGAAACAATTTTATTACCTTGGTCTGACATTTTGTCTTTGCAAAAGTCTCAGCTAGGTGAGCAGCATCTGTATTGGATGTTACACCTTAAGAAGACCAACAAAACATATTAATTAGTAGATACAACTGCTATTTTAGTACAAACATGAATAATTAGTTTAATAAAGTAATTACCCCCAATAATCACAAGACCGTTCAATTTCAATGCTTCACATGCAACTTTAACAGCATTGATTTGCTCATTTGTTCTTATTCGATCCTTCGTTCGGCCTAGCAAATCAAAACCGCCTTCAAGAGCAACAAATACACATTCTTGAGAAAATTGCTGAAGATTTTCAGAATAATAGACAAATATTTGTTGAATATTAAGAAAAAAAGAATCAAATTATATGAACCTTGGTTTTTGTAAGAAGAAATAATATCATCTGTGATTTCTATAGTTTTCTGAGCAAATAAGCCTTCAGTACCACCTTTGCAATGAATAAATTGGAATCAACGTATAATCATGTTAGAAAATAGAATAGCAAGCTACAAAATGTTAAGAAGATGTTGCCAACATGAGAACATTTACAAATTAGAGAAATTATATAAAACAAGCATACATATAATTATGAGTGTGTGCATGCGTGCGGGCGTGTGTGTATGGTGCAAGCACCGTGACTCTTTGGTTTACAGCTGTGTTGTCAGTATGAATCTCCTGGTGGGTTCGAGCCTGCCTGAGTGCGACTGCCTTAAAGCATGAGATCGAGTGGTTAGGCACGTGAACTTGGTTGGGGGCTCGTATCATAGCCTCCGACCAATCTTTTTAAAAAAAAGTAAAAATAAAAATTTCAACCATTTAATTAATTTCAAATCATTGGAAAGTGTTGACACTTCAAAGTTATAGTCGTCTCATCCCATCGATATATATATATGTTTCTATGATGAATATTAGGTATTCTAAGGCTACATTTGGTTGCTTGGAATTAGATGAGATGATTTTTAAATTAAATGTCGATTAAATCATTATTTGATCGAGCGTAGTTAGAAATTGCATTGAATTAGTTCTTGACAATAACCTAAAAAAAGATTACTCAAATGTAATGATTTTTCAGCCTTACATACAAAATGAAAATAAAATAATCATTTTCTCTTTTATAAAATAATGTAAGAAAAAAATGCACTAGAGCTACAAATTTCAAAGAAACATATACCTATAAAGCCAAGCACAACACTTTCAGGATTATGAGATTTTATTGCATCATGCAGGCCCCAGACGACATTATGTCCACCTGGAGATGGCCTCCCACAAAATACAACACCAACCCTGCAAAAAAAATTTTGCAAAAAAAATTGGGCAATTGCACTTCAGCCAATTATAATAGAAGGAGCAAAAGAACTGTAAATAAATTAGGAAAACTTTTTCATTTGTTATAAATAAACTAAAAGAACATTTTTATATAAAGATGATTACATACAGACCACCAAAAACATTGTTATTTACAAATTAACCGCCGATGTTATTTTTTTGAACTGCTGAACTGATGAATTTACATGTGCCACAATCAAACTATTAAGAATTTGATAAAAAAAAATGAAAAGTATATGTTGGAATTTTACCATGAACTTTGATATTTGAGTTGCAAAATGGATGAAACAGGGTGGTTGATTTGTAAATAGTAAATTTGGGTGCTATGTATGTTATTGCCCCTTTTATAAAATGCATATCAACTTGCTATACAAGTTCTCTTACTTATTTACATGTTGGCCCTACCCATATAATTTCAGGCGCAAAACTTGGTTGTTTGGTTGGTTGTTCTCAAAATACATGCATTTTAGTTTCAAAAAATGCCTGCATTGTGTGTAACTAAAATGCATGTATTTTGAAAATACATAAGTTGTTAAGTTGGATATAAATCAAATGAATTGAAATATTTTCTTATGTTTGTTAGACTACGGCTCTGTTTGGGTAGTTTATTTGGTGCGGTGCGTTTTCAGGACCATTTGAGTAACTTGTGTTTTGGCAGCTTATTCAAAAATCAATATTTTCAAACCGTTGAAATCAGCATTTTCACACCGTCACTGGTTAGGTGCGGTGGCAGCTTTCTAGTTGCAGTCTAGATTTTTCAAAAAAAAAAATTTATAATAGTCACCACAATTTCTTGAATAACATATTATTTTTCAGCAGCTTATTAATAAGTTGCAACTGCCCCAAACATCTCAATATATTGAAATACAAGAGATGACATCGACGAGATTACTCAATGGGACGATGGCAAACATGACACGAGATTTCAAAATGATGAAATAGAATGAAAATGTACTTTATGGTATTTTAACTTCGTTAAAATTTTACTTTTTTGCATTTATTTTGCTTCAAAACAAAAATCAAAAAGCATTTTTTTTTTTAAATTGTAAGGGAGCATTGAAGTGCAAATGATAATTCAATGAGGGTGACGGTGGGCGCAACTCAATATTTAGAAATCATCAAATACACCCCCTTTAAATTTTACTGTGTTTCTCTTGCTTCAAATCAAACACAAAAAAGAGTTAAAATGCATGAACATGAAATGCAATACACTGCTAATGTTTTCGTTCAATTTGGCAGATTGGCACGAACCATCCTTAAAAATGAAAGAAAGATTAAAAAGAATAAGAACCTTAAAATTGGGTGTTCGGCGATAATTTGGGCATCGGAGACCTTCATTGTAGTCCTCATGAAATGAGCCAAAGGCTGCCCATATGTACATGGAAAGGCTTGGCTTATGATATGTAAATTGTTGGGGTCTATAGTGGTTGTTCCATCACCATACTCCAACCTCATAGTAGTCCCCTACCAACAAAGACAAAATAGTTTTACTAAAGTTAGGTGATTAAAATTTGTATTGCTTTACATGATTGAATTAAAAATAAAACTTATATGTCATACATAGCTACATAAAACTTTGATAAACTTTGATAAGAATTGTAATAAGTCAAAGCTCAGATTATAGATCTGAACTTCATTATCACAAGGCTTTGAAATTCGTGCATTTTAGGGATAAATTTTCTATCAGCGCATCCGGAGACCAGATTGTGATCAGCAAGGATTTAATATCCGTTGATTTGCTTTGAAATTCGTGCATTAACATGATTAACCAATCATAATTTATAGTTCACTAATCTCAAATTAAATCCAACAGACATGAAGCAATCCTCGCCAAAATCTAAGAAAATTTCATCTTTTGGTGCTAGAATAGGCAGACATCATCTAGCACCAAGAAAAAAACAGAGTTTTTAATCAACAGAACTGTTAAAAGTTTATTCTTTGAAACCAAATACAGCTGACACAGGAGAAACAATGGCGGAACAGGGATTTAAAAATGAAGGGGGATGGATAATTGCATACAGATCATCCGAAACATTGATATTTATAAATTAACCACCCAGGTGATTTTTTTGAACTACAGAACCGAGGTATTTACGCGCGCCACAATCAAACTTCGATAAAAATGAAAAAAATATGGGTTGGGGTTCTGCCATGAATTTTGATATTTGAGTGAGAATTTGAAAATTGGATGAAAGAGAGTCGTTGATTTGTAAATAGCAAGTTTCAGGTGTTCTGTATGCAATCGCCCCCAAACATAAACCCATTTAAGAGAGCGAGGGGGAGAGACATAACCATATATATAGAGGAAGAGAGAGAGAGAGGAGACCTGAAGGCATGGAGGAAGCTCTGGCTGGTATCGAGTTCTCTCCTTCTGAAGATCTGAGAGCTCTCTCGCTGCACATTAAGCTGAATCCATCTCTCTCTCTCTCTCTCTCTCCCTCTCTCTCCCTCTCTCCCTCTCTCCCTCTCTGCTTACTTTCCTCGTTCACTGCTTTCTATTTCTATGACAAGCAAGCTTTTGAATCTGAAGGTCTTTTTATTGGTTTGGAATGAGAGAGAAAAAGCTGGAATTTTTAAAAGGCGTCTCTTTTATTTTTAATTTGAATACATGAGAAAGTATAAAAAAAAAGCAGACTTTGAGTCATGGAATCAAATATAATGAGTTATTAGCTGATTTGAGTCATTTTATTTCTACTTCGAGTTAAATTGAATAGATTTCAAGTTGGAACAAATCAAATTGTGATTTCGAGTAGTATTGAGCTCGATTAATTTTAAGTGAGTTAGCTGGAAATTGATATAACGAATCATGAGCCAATTTCAAATTAACCCCAACTCGACTCAAAATTGACTCGTTAATAATCTTATTTCTAGTATCCAAACTATAATATTTATATTTATAGTTTTTTGATGCATAGTAATAAGAATAATATAATGTGATAGATTTAGGGTCTGTTTGGGGCAGCTGCAGTTTATTGAATAATCTATTGATAAGCTAGATGCGGTGGCTATTACAAATTTTTATTTTTATTTTTTTAAATCAATTTGCAGTCAGAAAGCTGCACTGGACCTACATAAGTGCGGCGTAAAAACGCAGTTTTCAGCTTTTTGAAAATGCATAAGCTGTCAAAACAAAGTATACCGAAACAGGTTATGTGCGTGTTCAAAACGTCACCGCACCAAATAAGCTGCCCCGAACTGACCCTTAATTGTTATGCATTTATATAGGAAAATTTAGGTATTAGTTATATAAATTTATAAGAAGCGTGGGGTATCTATGTAAATCTTTCTTATTTATATATATTACATCTATATATATTATTGACCGGTCAGATCCAGTCACCGCTTTGACTATCAACCTTCATTGCTCCGCCGTTTTTGTGGAAAGCGTAATGTTCCCGCGTCAGAGGCGGTAACCTTAACGTCGCCGGTTGTTTCCAACCGCAAATGGGAACAAAAAACGGTTTGCTATTTGATATAAAACAATGGAGAGAGCATATTCTAGTTAAAATTCACGCAACATAAATTTTTAATTTTTTAATATTAGTGTTTTATTAAAATAAATAAATAATTATTTATTTACTATTACAATGTCAATATAAATTTTAAAATTTATAATTCATTTAATTAAATATTTACATATACAAAGATCTTAATATAAGTAATAAATGTTTTTAAATTTTGAATATATATGATTGGATTTTTTTAGCCCGCATTCGAGTCGCACGTCGGCAGTGAAAATTATAGTATTAGATCGAACTCAATAGTCTAACTCAAGCTTGATATCACGAGCCTGAACAAAGTTAGAACGAGATATTACATAGAAACCTGCTCAACTTTGATCTACTGAAAAATATGCATAATAAATATATTTTTGTCGTCATTTAGTCTGTTATGTAGCTCGCCGCTAAGTCGGCCTGAAAATTATAAATAAAGGAGGCGGTTAACTCTTACTCGAAATTTAACACGTTTGATTCAATATTAGTTAAAGTTTGGCCTGAGACTATGATACGAGCCCCTGACTAACCTCATGTGTTTAACCATTCGTACGTCGCACATAGGCGGGATCGAACCCATGACCACAGAGGACTTGTGCTTGGTTGCACCACCAAAGAGTCAAGACAAACAGCAGATCCATAGCTAGTATATAATGCACCAAATAGTACAATCCATAGCTAGTATATAATGTACATAATGCACATAATGGGACTTGAATGGCTTACTGGAGGATTTCCAGAAGGTCAATAGTCATGACTCTTCGCCCATCCTCCTCTTACCTTTGTCAAAAATATTTAAAAAATAAAGAATTATATTTTATATATACACTTTCATGGTATATACTCAATAAAAAATAAGAATTTGTAAAAAAAGAAAAATAAGAGTTGTGATTTTATTATGACTTTTGATATTTGAGAGGGAGTTTGAAAATTGGGTGAAAGAGGTGCTAGTTTTGTAAATATTAATCTTTAGGGTGCTATATAAAAAAAGGTTGTACTATTTCACTTCTAATCGCATGTAATTATTAAATATTCTCTATATTCTTCTCATAACATCACTATATTCAATATATTCAGGGGTTGGTTGGGATCACTTTTATTTTTTATATTCTTATTTATTATTTATTTTTTTATTTTGTTTATATTTTGATTTGAAATAAAAAATGCCTAAAAATATGTAACAAAATATATGAAGCAAATATATTTTTAAAAATAAAAGAAAATTTTAAAATTAAGATGATAATTAATATTGATTCATAGATTTTATCATCAATTGAATATTTAATTTTTCAATTATAAACTTCAATCAATACAACTACTTTTACAAACACAACAAAATTCTCCACTTAAATAAAGAGCTCCCGAGTAATAAAATAAGATTTAACACAAAAGAGAAAATAATTAATAATGACACAAGAAGTTTTTACGTGAAAAACCTGAAAAAAAGAGAAAACACGAGGACTGACCCAGATGGTGTTCCATTATAAAAAGATATTTACAGTTGCATCCATTTGTCCCACAAGTTGAAATGAGTTATTAGGTTACACACACACACACTATATATATATATA